GCCCATCCAGGCCAACTCTACTAAAAATATGAACAAATTAGCTGGCCGTGGTGGCACATGCCTGCAGTCCCAGCTACTCAGGAAGCTGAGGCAGGAGAATTGCTTGAACCCAGGAAGCGGAGATTGCGGTGAGCCGAGATCGCGTCACTGCGCTACAGCCTGGACAACAGAGCAAGACTCTGTCTCAAACAAAAAACACATAAAAATCTTCATATTCATTAATAAATCAAAACCAATGTTTCCACTGTGTTAACAGTTCATTAATAAGACAATAGTACCTATTTAAAATTAAGATTCCTAGTCGGATGCCTAGGACAAAGCTTTTCATGTAATTTTTAATAAATCTAATCTCTTCTGCGCCTTGGCAAGCTAATCACACGAACCCCATTTATGAATGCACAGAAGCTAATTTACAAGCGTATGTGAGGTGGGTACTTAAACCACGACACTGGAAATTCTCATGCATGTATTGATAATTATCATCAAAGCTTCATCTATTTTGTCTAAAACGTAGAACTGTATGCTGTTTGGTAGCACACATTGTACAATGTTAGTATAAACATGTCATGAATTTTTCCTACCATCTGACACAAACATGCATTATCCTCTACTAGCTATTAAGAAAAAAGAAAGGCATATTCTCGACGTTTCTCTTTCATGGAACCTTCATTCAGTCCTGGAAGAACCATAGAAGTATTTATTTTTGGCTGGTGCAGTAGCTCACACCTGTAATCCCAGAACTGTGGGAGGCCAAGGCGGGCAGATCACGAGGTCAAGAGATCAAGACCATCCTAGCCAACATGGTGAAATCCCATCTCTACTAAAAAAACAAAAATTGGCTGGGCGTGGCACGCGCCTGTAGTCTCAAGCTACTTGGGAGGCTGAGGCAGGAGAATTGCTTGAACCTGGGAGGCAGAGGGTGCAGTGAGCTGAGATCCTGCCACTGAACTCCAGCCTGGCGCCTTGTGACAGAACAACACTCTCACTCTCAGAAAAAAGAAGTATTTGTTTTCTAGAAGTTTACAATCTTTATTCTTTAATTCAGTGTAAATTTTCCAATAGTCACACAGCAACTTGGACAAGTGATCACGTAGAACAAGAAAGGGAATCTCACTATTAAGAGGAACTCTTTGGACTTTTAAACAAAAATATTTATAATGAAAGAATTTATTTTTATCATTTTATCATATAATTTTGGACCTGTTAACAAAATGACTTTTTAAAAAAGTGTATCGAAAAGCATTAACTTTCTAAAGTTTTTTTTTTTTTTTTGAGGTAGCTTTTTGAAGCCACAAATTGCCTGCACATATGAAAATTGCTTGACAGTTTCATTATTCTGTGGGATTTGTAAAAAGTTTTTATTTACATATACATGCATAATGAAACCCTTTTAGAAACCTGTTCTTAACCCAAACCTGTCTTATCATTAAAAAGATTTGTTTTTAAAAAATGAAATATTGTCCAGGTGCCATGGCTCACACCTGTAATCCCAGCACTTTGGGAGGCTGAGGCAGGTGGATTGCCTGAGACCAGTCTGGCTGACATGGTGAAACTCCATCTCTACTAAAAATACAAACAAAATTAGCTGGGCATGGTGGTGTGCACCTGTAATCCCAGCTACTCGGGAGGCTGAGGCAGGGGAAATTGCTTGAACCCGGGAGGCAGAGGTTGCAGTGAGCCGAGATCACACCACTGCACTCTAGCCTGGGTGACAGAGCAAGTCACTGTCTCAAAAAAAAAAAAAAGTGAAATATTAATCCTAAAATAGTAGAAATATAAAAAATACGTGCTGAATATTTTCACCATTTTTCTATAACATAAATCACAGCATATTTAGTTATCCAATTCAGTTTTGATCTACAGCTCAGGCAGTGATGCCTAAGCTCCCCCTTTTCATTTTGGAGGAGCAATAACAATGCACAAAATAACTGGCGACTAAGGAAATGGTGGCAGTAACATTCTTCAATAAAGATGGTTCGTAAATATATTACTGTAGTCCAATTTAGACATCAGACAGAATTCAGTCCAAAACACCCGAGGCAAAAAAATATGCCTTCAGTCTTTGTAGACTATGGAAAAGGACAAATTCATTTCCTTTTAGGGGGCAGGAAATTGTGACATGTCCAGAGGCAGACGAATCACCTGTATTCAATTCTACCATTATTTCCTGACACATACTATGTGCTAAGGACTGGATATTCAAAGATGAGAAAAAATAAGTGCTCAAGGGTAACACTCACGCACACAGCCTAAGAATATAAAGAGAAAAGTTAGACTAAGTCCTAGTAAGTGCTGTTACAGAAAGCAGAAGTAGGGTGATTTCAGAAATCAGAGCAAGTATTCTTCATTTAAATTTTTTCCAGCTCTAAGAATCTCTTATGTATCCTCTCCAGGGAAGCACAGAACCTTGGAAACGATCATTATGCCGGGTTTTCAGACTGCCACCTATCATGGGCTGACTCATGTGTCCCCAGTTCCTATGTTGACATTGTGATGCTCACTACTTCAGAATCTGACTGTATTTGGAGACAGGGCCTTTTAAGTAGATAATTATGGTAAAATGAGGTCATATAGGTAGACTCTAATCTAAGAGTATCTATATAAGAGAGGATTTATGACACAGACATGCACAAAGGGAGCACCATGTAAAGAAACCAAAGGAAGATGGCTGATATGGTTTGGCTGTGTCCCCATCCAAATCTCACCTTGACTTCCCACATGTTGTCGGAGGGACCAGGTGGGAGGTAACTGAATCATGAGGGCTGGTTTTTCCCATGCTGTTCTCATGAAAGTCAGTAAGTCTCACAAGATCTGATAGTTTTAAAAACAGGAGTCTCCCTGTACAACCTCTCGTTTTTTTGCCTGCTGCCATCCGTGTAAGATGTGACTTGCTCCTCCTTGCCTTCCACAATGATTGTGAGGCTTCCTCAGCCACATGGAACTGTAAGCCCAATTAAACCCCTTTCCTCTGTAAATTTCCCAGTCTTGGGTACGTCTTTATTAGCAGCATGAAAACAGACTAATACAGTAAACTGGTAGCAGAAGAGTGGGGTGTTACTGAAAAGATACCTGAAAATGTAGAAGCAACTTTAAAACTTGGTAACAGGCAAAGGTTGGAACAATTTGCAGGGCTCAGAAGAAGGCAGGAAAATGGGGGGAAGTCTGGAACTGCCTAGAGACTTGAATGGCTTTGATCAAAATGCTGATACTGTTGTAAACAATAAGGCCCAGGCTGAGATGGTCTCAGACAGAGAGGAGGAACTTGTTGGGAACTGAAGCAAAGGTGGTTTCTGTTATGTTTTAGAAAAGGGACTGGCGGCATTTTGTCCCTGCCCTAGAGATTTGTGGAACTTTGAACCTGAAAGAGATGAATCTCTAAACAGCAAGCATTCAAGAGGTGACCTGGGTATTATTAAAGGATTAAGTTTTATAAGGGAAACAAAGCATAAATGTTTGGAAAATTTGCAGCCTGACAATGTGACAGAAAACAAAATCCCATTTTCTGAGAAGAAATTCAAGCCTGCTGCAGTAAATTGAATAAATGACATGATTGGTTTTGTAATGTGAGGATATTAGGGAGGTTTGGGAGAGTCCAGGGACATAATGATATGATTTAGCTATGTCCCCACCCAAATCTCATCTTGAATTCCCACGTTATGGGAGGGACCCAGTGGGAAGTAACTAAATCATGGGGGAACATCTTTCCCATGCTGTTCTTGTGATAGTGAATAAGTCTCATGGGATCTGATGGTTTTGAAAAACAGGAGTCTCCTTGCACAAGCTCCTTTTTTTTTTTGCCTGCTGTCATCCATGTAAGACATGACTTGCTTTTCCTTGCCTTCTGCCGTGAGGCTTCCCCAGCCATATGGCACTGTAAGTCTAATGAAACCTCTTTCTTATGTAAATTGCCCAGTCTTGTGAATGTCTTTATCACAGCTTGAAATCAGACAAATGCAATGTCCATCTACAAGCCAAGGAGAGAAGCCTTAGAAGAAGCCAGCTAATCCTGCTGACACCTTGATCTTGGACTTCCATCCTTTAGAATTGTAAGAAAATAAATCTCTCTTGTGTAAACTACCCAGTCTGTGGTACTCTGTTACGGTAGCCCTACTAATATATCCCTCAGAACACAAAGCTCAATCCAGCACTTTCTTCTACCTTAAGTTCTACAAGCCTTGTCTGATTTAAAAACAAGCAAACAAAAACGCTTTTTAAAAAAGTGAAACATTTGGCCTCTGTGAACAAACACCAAGCCATCTTACTCAGGCTAATGAAGAAATCTGGCCTGATGGTGAATAAAAGCCAGGTGATTCTTTATCATGAGTGCTTTATCCGGCTTAGCACATGTTTATGGAAAATCTTCTACATGCCTCGTATTCTTGCTATCCTATGACATAGAAACAAGCATAAGTGGCTACAGAGTAAGGCATAAAATGTGCAACAGAGAGAATATTTGTCTTGCACTAGTGTTCTTATAAATATGACCAAGAGAACCATTAAAACAAAATGAAATTGCCTGGGATAACAGCAAGATGGAGCGTTGACGGGAGGAGCACAGGATGGGAGATGGTAAAGGACATCAGGCAGTACCTGTGGTCTGTCAGCTTCTGGACATGAGCCATCTCATTCAACTTCACTAACACTTAGAATTAGGTATCAGCATCCCTGCTTTACATGAAGAAAACCAAGGCACAGCATGATTTAACTGTGCAACTGGAGGCTGCAGAACCAAGATTTTTCCTACTGGTATGTACACCAAAGTTTTCATTATGTAGAAAATTATACAGAAGTTGTACATTGAGAAGTAAATATGTAAACAACTGTTGAGAAACAGGATACCTGAGTGATTACGAGATGTGAAAAGAATTCAAGAAACAACTAATACTTACTGAAGACTGCTACGCTTAATTACCCTCTACCAGAAAGGAGTCAGGCAGAGTTAAGCTTCTAGAACAGTACCTGATACATAATATAGCAAAATCTTTTTTTTTTTTATGCAAGCAGATAAAGGCTTGTTTTATTTTAATGGCTGGTCTATGGAATCACGGAGGCCAGTATGCACAGACGAAGGGGGAGCTTTTATTTCTTGGTCTCTTCCTCCTTGGACAAAGTCTTGATGATCTCCTCCTTTTTGGCCTGGAGGCGCTCTTCAGGGCCCTTGTGTGCTTCCTTGGTCTTAGACCTGCAGGCCTCAGCCTGGTCAGCCAGGAGCTTCTTGCAGGCCTTGTCTGCCTTCAGCTTGTGGATGTGTTCCATGAGAATCCACTTGTTTTTGAACACATTCCCCTTCAAATTCAGGTATAGGCTGTGATACACGTGGCTATCAATTTTCTTAGATTCCCGGTGTCTTCTGAGCAGTTGGCGCAGAATTCTCATTCTCCTCATCCATGTGACCTTCTCTGGCGTTCGGGCATTAGCTGTACCCTTATGCTTACCTGTGCCCACATGCCTGCCCTTCCAGTGGGCCAAGGTGTTTTTCCGGGAGCGAGCCAGGGAATGGACCATCACAGGCTTGCGGATGATCAGCCCATCTTTGATCAGCTTCCGGATCTGCTGACGCGAGTTAGCACTGGCGATTTCATTGGTCTCATTCGGGTCCAACCAGACCTTCTTGCCACAACAGAGGACACTACAGGCGAGCCTCTGCTGAAGCCTGAGCATACTCATGGCTGTGGCCGCAACAGCGAAACAAAGACCCAATATAGCAAAATCTTACTCATCAACTACTACTGTTAATGTTACCACCTCACTAAATCCTCCCAACAATCCTATGAGGCACACACAGTTACAGTGATCTTCATTTTAAATAAGAAGAATGATGCTTAGGGAAATGGAAATAATACACTCGAGGACACAGAAGTGGGTAAAGGAGAATCAATTTTGTCTATAAGAACGAAAACAGAGCTCCTAAAAACATTTTTTTTTTTGAGTTTTTTTTTTTTTAATTTGTTCTTAGCTAACAGAAAAGGTAGTTCCTCTTACTAAACTGAAATGCCTCAAAGGAATTTTAATAAATTCCTCAGTTCCTGAAACTCTTTCCTTCTACTCTTGCTGAGCTACAAGCGACAAGAATCAAAAGGGAAGCTTAAAAGGCAGGAGGCAGAAGAAAAAAATTAAAAAGCCTGCCCCAGATGGCCCAGGATGATCCAGGAAATAGGCAGACTCTGCACATGGACACTTAGGAACCCACAAATGTATGTAGCGTGATGTGCTGACAGCCAGTTTGCTGGGGTGGCAAAAAACACTGGGTGAGTTGCCTGGACACAGAAAACTGGAATCAAATGAATTTGCAAAAGTCAGGCTCAAGCTGAATTTCTCACTGCTGCCAACATGTTTGAAGTGGGATCCCAGGCCATTCCAGGAAGAGACAAAGTCTCAGATAAAAGTGAGCGTGTGAACAATGAACAAAGAGAAGAAAAAGGTTGGTCAATATCAACAAGCTGCACGGACTCAGCGGATGGGTAGGCAGAGTTCTGGATCCTCCCAACCAGGCTGGTGCTTACCTCTCCCCTCAGCACCTCTAGCCTGCAGCTTGGACTATAGATCTGTCTCTCCCACCCAACTGCAAGACCCTCAGAAGCAACTGAGCACAGAGAAGGCTTTCAGTAAATGTTGGTTAAATGAGTAAATGAATAAGAAAGCAAGCCAAACTAAAAGAATTAGGTGTATCTGCTTAGATTTGGTATCTGCCAAGAATACTGGCACGTCATTATTAAAACCTTTCTCCGTAACTCTGGTAAACAGCTGACATCCTATTCTAAAATCTCAGCAAATCTGAATCCAGTTAATTTTACATCTGTCATCCCTGATCTTATTTTATGTAAGTGTGATTTTACTGTAAGCAGGTACACAGAAAGCTCGTACATCTCCAGCGTACGTACTCCTGTAAACCCATAGGTGGCTGAGCAGTTTTATTTCACTCAGCGACCAGGAGTACAAAAACATCAGAACTCACTTTGCCAATTTGCACTAACTCCTTCCTCTGCATTTTCTAATATGGTAGATAATATAAAAGAGGAAAGGCAAGCTTGTTCTTCAGGTGGGGCAGAGACATGAAACCTAAGGACTCTACCTGCCCTAGTCAACCTCCCCTGTGCTTCCAGCTCTTACCACCATCACCCAAGTACCATCAGGAGAAAGAAAAATTAGGCTAAAGGAAGGTTCCAGGAGCAACAGAAGAGTTTTATAGTAGTAAATGGTCAAACATTTTATTTTATAGATTAAGATCTGCTTGACCTAAAAATGGTCAGAGAGCTGGCTGTGACGGTTCATGACTGTTAATTCCTGTACTTCAGGAGGCCAAGGCGGGTGATTGCTTGAAGCCAGTCATTTAAGACCAGCCTGGGCAATGTGGTGAAACCTTATCTCTATAAAAAATATAAAAATTTGCTGGGTGTGCTGGCGTGTGCCTGTTGTCCCAGCTACCTGGTAGGATGATGTGGGAGGATCACTTGTGCAAGGGAGGTCATGCCACTACATTCTAGCCTGGGAGACAGAGCAAGACTCTGTCTCAAAATTATAAAAAAAAAAAAAAAAAAAATTAAAAACAGTGAAAGAATTGAATATATTACCCTAATCTTCAGACTTCCTTTTCTATATTCAAATTTAACGATTAAAAGTGTTGCTGAAAACATCAAACTACTTTCTAAGTTCCTTTCTCTTTACATCTGTAAATGGCTAACAGTGATGAAATAATATTTGATCTTTCCAAACGTTCATTGTCATTCTAAGTTCAGGACCAGCTCCTTTTGCCACCGAACATGATTATTGCTGTATTCAAAAGGAAAAATAAATGATTGGTGATGTTTCCAAGTTTCTAAACACCCTTAAAATAACAATGAAAAAAATTATCCTGCAGAGTACTTACAGCTTGATAACACATATTCTCTTCTGAATCAGGAAGAGGAAAAAGTTACTTGAAAATTCCATTTGCCTGTCTCAAACGGTTCTTGCCAGTGATTAAGTCTAAACACCTAACTTTATCTGTTTTATAGGTGATCAAAATGAAGGTTTTAGCTAATTAGTTCAATGAATGAACAAAAAGTCCCCAGACTTTTTATGAGCACTCTCATTTATGTCTAGAATTCTTAAACTTCCCATCCCATTGGTGCTTAATTTTTTTTTTTTTTTTTAACAGACAGGGTCTCGCTGTGTTGCCCAGGCTGGAGTGCGGTGGCTATTATTCATGGGTATGTTCCTACTACTCATCAGCATGGGAGTTTGGACCTGCTCCATTTCTGACTTGGGCCAATTCACCCATCCTTGGGCAAACTGGTGGTCCCCAGCTCTCTGGAGGTCACCACGTTAATGCCAAACTTACTGCCGCTGCTCTGTCAGCATACTGTAATACAGCCCAGTACTCCTGGGCTCAAGCGATCCTCTGGTGGCAACCTCCCGAGTAGCTGGGACTAAGGGACACACCGCCTACCCTGGTGGTGCCTAATTTTTAACGCACACACTAACTGCAGGTAACAGGTAAGGTATAGACTGAGGGGAGAAGGGTTAGCTCTAGATAACAAATTAAGTATTGCTGTTCAGGAGAATCACAGCTAAAGATACTGAAGGTACTGATGCTTGTCTTCAGCATTTCCGGGCATAAATCTTATTCACGGGCTTATTTTAGAGGTGACACTCTCAAAAATTGCAAGCCTTCCACTGGCTTTGTACATGCCAACGCTTTTATATACACTCAGAAAAACAGCCAAGCTTCTACTCACACTTATTTAAGTCTTTAATCTGGCAAAGGAGCACAGCTAAAGCATATATAAATAAGGTCAACGATGAGTACTTTACCAGACACACCTGGCACTTTCCAGGTGCTACTGTCCAATGGCGGTAACCCCTGAGGGTTGGACAGGACAATGGAAACAAATACAAATCTTCTAGGTACCTCTCCGATCCAACTACTTCAGTGAATGACATAATACTGTAGTTGAAGGGCCAATTAAATTGTTTATTAAGACTTTCCAAATTAAGAAGGAAGTCCAGCAAGGTTAAGAGACACATCTTAGCTAGCTACAGCTCCATTTTACCATAGCCCAGAGCTGTCCCCAAATAGAGAATCCCATGGGCAAAGAGGGAATCCCTCTCCGGTTAGAGAGCTAAGCTTCTCCAGATACTGCTGAGAACCAAGAGGCCTCATCTCAAAGCAGGGGTCCAAAAAACACAGCACTGGGCACTGATGCTGAAAGGAAAACAGCACAAAAAGTGACAACAGCACCTCCTACAATGTGCGCATTTTACTTAATAGTTTATAAAACACTTGGCATAGAGCTTGCCTTGTATAAAACTCAGAAGATCTAACATAAGCAGCATCACAGTCCTATATTCAAGCTGAGGAATCTTCAGCTATAATTAAGTAAGTTAACCTACGGTCAGCTAAATGGGTGAGAAGATTCATACCCAGATACTCTCACTGGAAATGCCATTCCACTTTTTCACACTTTATTGTCTATTACTGACCTAAATACCAAAAAGAACCAAATTCAAACGTCAAAACTCAAATCTAATCCTCCAAACAAATGTGTGGCACATAAGAACAGTGGACGAGTGAAAAAGTTCCATCCACAGAGTTTCAATCGATACTAAAATGGATCAAATAATTATTTCAGATTAAACAGAAATGGTATTTTAAGGGACAGGCTTTCTGGTAGGTGACAAACAGTAAATAGACATTTGATGGCTTTATTTGTGCCCAGTTGGCTGCTTCTGAGGTGTGAATGAAGCTGTCAACAGTGGGCATCTGCAGTGCCTGTCCACTACACATCACAGAAGGTGCCCAGTCACGTCTTTTCAGTCCAGCTTCTCAGGCACACTCAGGTCCACGGAAACACGGGCAGATTAGTCCAGGGATGCCAATACACAGAACAGGGTCTTCCAGAGTTAACCCAACAAGCAACTGGCATATTCATCAACATCAAATAATTCCGAACATTGAAACAGAACATGTTACCGTTCAAGACTGTCACACCTATGAGACAGCCCAGACAATCTCCACAGGGAAGGATGGAGCTGTACCTTTCCAGAAACAAAGGCCAAGCCTGAAGTTAGAGTATTTTCCACGGTACTCAACCTGTAGCTGTAGAGGGGGGAGCCCATGTTTGGAATACTCTGAAACCCATGCTCTTTCTACTACTGTACTAGCCCACTAAGATTATAAGATTAGACACGAGGTATCAGGAAATCACTTTGGGCCCTTCGCAGTAACAGAGCTATGGTTCGAAGTTTCAAACATACTATTACTACTCACCTATAGGGGCCAGAGCCTTATCCCACCCCCCACCCCCGAAAGAAGATGAACAGAATTCAGAGGACCATGATCTCAGACAGACATTACATCTTTATCATTCACTAACATCCAGCTGAAATTTTGTATTTCCCAGATTCATAAAGGTAGGCAGCAAATCATAGGAGTATCAGCAGTACCTCTGACTTAGTTACAGACAAAATGCGACATTTCCATATCACATTACAATGTTAGAAATATTAATCTTTATAATCATCACAACTTCAAAATTATTAGTTATTAGATCTGATGCTGGATCTGATTAATGTGCTAATAGAACAGCATAAAAATTATGTATCACCTTTTAAAAAAATATATCTGACCAGTTTTGAAAAAATTGGTCTCCTTTGTACCTGTGAATTTTCTATTTTACTTTAAGAAAGGCTTCCCCAGTGTGCCAGTGGGATCCTTGGTACAATAACGAATTAAGAACCCATTCTGAAGATACTCAGGTAACACCTGTCACAGATGGAAAATAACCATATATATTCCAATTTTGTGAAGCTAATGGGTTTCAAAGAATGTGTAGAAATATAAAATTCACCTAACGTTGGTAAAGTTTTGCTACCCAACAGGTCAGAAAAAGGTGTTTTTCTTTAGAAAGTGATTACATGTGACAAATATGGCTAATTTAGATAGATTATAATAACTGTACAATCAAATAAAATGTCATATACAGGGCAAATTTAACACTAACAATTCAGAAGTCGTTTCTGGATGTGACACTGTGTCAATCCTACTATGAAAATCAACTATTATTTTTGTATAGAGGTGAAACTAGCATTCTAGTCAATAAAATGCTAAATATCAATGAATGTTCCACACTGCTTTGGTAATGACTGCTTTTGGAAATTTACTTATAGTCTCATTTGATCCCGTTAAGGAATAATATGAACAGTAGAGGAGAATCATCAATTTTAGATTAGAAAAGAACCCCAGAGCAGGGCTGTAATCCCAGCACTTTGGGAGGCCGAGGCGGGCAGATCACCTGAGGTCAGGAGTTCAAGACCAGCCTGACCAACATGGAGAAACCTCCTCTCTACTAAAAATACAAAATTAGCCAGACGAGGTGGTACATGCCTGTAATCCCAGCTACTCGGGAGACTGAGGCAAGAGAATTGCTTGAAGCCAGGAGGCGAAGATTGAGATGAGTCAAGATCGCGCCATTGTACGCCAGCCTGGACGACAGAGTGAAACTCCATCTCAAAAAAAAAAAGAAAGAAAGAAAAGAAGCCAGGAGATCCTCACACACTTTCCTCTCCCTGCTTCCCTCTACAAAATAAGAACAACTCCGGCCAGAGAGCCAAAGTTTGATAAATACCCATTATGTGCTGCGTACCTTTCAAGGAACTAGAGATCAAGTGATGAACAGGACTGAAATGAACAGGACTGAACAGGACACACAAAGTCCCTGCCTTTGTGGACTTAAATGCTAAAAGGAAGACAGACAATGATCAAGTAAACAAGTGATACACCGAAATAAATCACTTAATATTCCTAAAATCACACATAGTTGGACGTAGAGCCTCGCTTGGGCCCTCATTTCCTCCCACTAATCCCGTATTCTATTGTGTCACAATGCCAGGATCACAGAAACAAAGGAAAGAAATCAAAGAGAAAATGCAGAACAGGGAGAAGGCTCAGAAAGAGGAAATTTGCACAGTACTCTGAGGGGAGGGGATGTCCTTGTTCCATTTCTTTAATTTACCATTGCCAACCCTGCCTGTAATTGCTCCTTGGACAAAATAAGCCACAAGATAAAAAATAAAACTGTTTCAAGTCCATTGATCACGGAAACGAAATAACTGAGTACCATGCTCTTTTTCACAGAACACAGCACAAACCCCATGCACACACTCTGTACAATGTGGAACAATTCCTTAACTGCCTCCAGAAAACTCAATTCCTCTGAAGGACCAGAAGTGTTGAAAGAGAATCCAATTCTCATTACTGGTCACCAAATGAGTAGGAATCTCAGTTTATCAGGGCACAGGGCAATCCCCCACGTGCCTTTCTGCTGATCATTTTCACAACACTGAAGGTGAAACAAAGCAGTCGTTTTCTGTTCGTGTTTTTTTGAGATGGAGTCTCCCACTGTCGCCCCAACTGGAGTGCAAAGGTGCCATCTTGGCTCACTGCAACCTTCACCTCCTGGGTTTAGGTGATTCACCTGCCTCAGTCTCGAGTACCTGGGAATATAGGCGCACACCACCACACTCAGCTAATTTTTTGTATTTTTAGTAAAGAGACAGGGTTTCACAATATTGGCCAGACTGGTCTCGAATTCCTGATCTCAAGATCCGCCTGCCTCAGCCTCCCAAAGTGCTGGGATTACAGGCGTGAGCCACTGTGTCCAGCCCAAAGCAGTGGTTAACCCCCAGCTGAAGTTACCAAAGGGAAGCAGCTGAGGCTAGTGTTTATAGCTCAGTTGGCATGGCCGAGCAAAATGGGGAAAAAAGCATTGTACGGCTTCCACCTGACAGGCCCCACTATTTCTTAAGGGGCTTCTGCTTTCTGGCCAACTCTTCAAACAGTCATCATTGGCAAATAACCAACCAAACCAAAATCTAAATCTATTTTTCAATATATTTCATGTCTTTCCCTGAAATGAAATATATGTAATTTCAACAGATACTGACCCATTAATTAATCCCCAAAACAAACCAATGCAGTATTTTTGTTGTTTTCGCTCTCACAACAGAAATATTTATTTTGACCACTAAATTTTGGGCTTACAACAGTTAATCTGGGAAAAGAAGAGTGGCTTCCCGAATTATCATGTTAAGAACATTAACTTGGATGTTTCACTTTTTTTCATATGCTTTTAAAATCTTTGGGTCAATATGAAGTTTTCCCTATAACATTTGAAAAATGTATCATCCATTACTACAGAAGTATGGAAAATAAAACTCGAAGCATCTGCTTAACACATTTTTACATATAAATTATTCAGAAAGTTAACGGTGAGGTTAAAAAACAGAACGAGAACCACGGCCAGTATACAATGAAAGGAAAATCTTGCTTCACATCGTGTGATTTCAGTACGTATTTAGGAAGGGACACTGCCAAACTTCCACTGGCATTGTTCGAAGTGGCATTTTTCACTTACTGAGTGCCACAACTCACATAACATCTCTCCTGATTCCTCCCGCTACCACATCAGGCAGGTATTGACATGTGTGGGGAAATAACTGATAAAAGTTACATAGAGAGCAGCCAAGGTGGAATCTGAAGGAAGGCCTCTCCAAGTAATGTCCATGTTCTCTTTCAGTTTCAACTCTAATCACACTCACAACAGCTTTCACATAATGGTGATAATGAGTGTGATAACATTAAATTCCCGTTTACCTCAATCCACTTTCCCACAGTTTGAAAACAGGTCTATATTTTATTCCAAGTTGAAAAGACCCTTCCACCTCTCATCCCACTAAATAATAAGGCACAACACACACACATCCCCCAGCCTACTGTATCAGAGAAACCACCGAGCTGAAATGACAGGATTCCACTGTTCCTGTACCCTAAGTCCACAGTGTCTGTAAGGTCCACCAATTCAGCCCTTCTCAACCTAAGAAAACAGAGCTTGTGCTGTGACTGCACCTCCACAGCTGTCTGTTCAACTTCAGGAGTTTATTATCTGATTACTGACATCTGTATTTTGTCAGATTTGACCAATTTTATTAATTTATCTTTAAAGGACTTTCAGCTATTTAATTATACAACAAATCTGCTATAATCAAGAACTTCTCTTTTCACTCAGATTAGAGTTATTACTGTAAAATCTTTATTTGCCTCCCTCTTCAATTTTCTTACAATTAAAGACCATACAGGAAGGGCACAGTGGCTCACGCCTATAATCCCAGCACTTCGGGAGGCGAAGGCAGGTGGATCACTTGAAGTCAAGAGCTCAAGACCAGCCTGGCCAACATGACGAAACTCTGTCTCTACTGAAAATACAAACATTAGCCAGGTGTGGTGGCGGGTGCCTGTAATCCCAGCTCCTGGGGAGGCTGAGGCAGGAGAATCGCTCAAACCTAGGAAGCGGAGTTTGTGGTAAGCCAAGATAATGCCGCTGCATTCCAGCATCAGTGACGGAGCAAGACTCCGTCTCAAAATAAATAAACAAACAAATAAAGACCATACCATACACAAATAGCTGGTGTTTTAGAAATGAAGATGTCTAGGTAGGCACAACAAACACCCACACTCACACCGCCAGAGGCAATACGACCATCAGCACAAGGCTCCGCCATGGACTCTGAGGTTGTATCACAGCGGGAAAGAGGTCAGAGTGATCAAAAATGCGTGAGCTGCAATCCTGGTTCTAACCCAGGCCTTGGCATCCTCATACATAAAGACGGGACCGTGAAAACTAGCCATAAAAATAAAGCATTTAGCACAGTGCACAACATTCACAGTACTTACCATCCCCATCACCATACCAACTCCAAAGCAGGGCCATTTTCCCAGCTGCCCTATTGTTTCCCAATTCAGAACTGGGATGTGTCACTGTCTTCCTCTTGCCCCTTATTTCCTACTAGCTTAAACTAACATTTAGGTTACATAAAATAAAATTCATCCTGTTAGTGTCCAATTTAGTAGGTTTTAGTGTCACAGTGAAGTAACCATGACCACTATCTACTTCCAATACATTTTCATCTCCCCAAAGAAATAGCATACCCCATTACTCCTTCCCCAACCCCTGGCAGCCACTAATTTATTTCAGTCTCTATGAATTTGTGTACTGTAGCATTTTATGTAAGCGGAATGACACAACATATGGCTTTTATGTCTGGCTTCTTTCACTTAGCGTACTGTTTTCAAGGTTTATCCATATTTTAACATGTATCAGTCTTTTATTTCTCATTATGGCTGAATAATAGTCCCGTGTGTGAAAGTATTCTATTGACTATTCATAAGGTGATGGACATTTGGGTGGTCTCCACTTTGGGGCTCTCATGAATAATGCTCCTATGAACGTTCCTCTACAAGTGTTTGTGTGCTCATATATTTTCATTTCTCAGGTATATCCCTAGAAGTGCAATTGTTGGGTCATATGTAACTGTCTAGTCAACCATCTGAGGAATTGCCAGATTGTTTTCCAAAGGAGACACACTATTTTACATTAACACATACAGTGTATTCCACTTTTCCTACAACCTGGCCAATACTTGTTACAATCTTTTGGACTACAGAAATCCTAGCAGTTAAGGTATCACAGTGTACTTTTGATTTGGATTTCTCTGATGGCTAATGATATTGAGCATCTTTTCATGTGCTAATTGGCCATTTGTATATATATATATATATATATATATATATATTTTTTTTTTTTTTTTTTTTGAGAAATTTCTATTCAGGACCTTTGCGCCCTGCCCCTTTTTTTTTGAGACGGAGTCTCGCTCTGTCGCCCAAGCTGGAGTGCACTGGTACAATCTCAGCATACCACAACCTCCACCTCCTGGGTTCAAGTGATTCTTCTTCCTCAGCCTCCCAAGTAACTGGAACTATGGGCACACAACTAGCTAATTTTTGTATTTTTAATAGAGATGGGGTGTCACCATACTTGCCAGGCTAGTCTCAAACTCCTGACCTTGTGATCTGCCTGCCTCAGCTTCCCAAAGTGCTGGGATTACAGGCTTGAGCCATCGTGCCCGGCCCCTTTGTCCATTTTTAAACTGGGTTTTTTATTCTTGAGTTGGAAGATTTCTTGTTTGTTTGTTTTTTGAGATGGAGTTTTGATCTTGTTGCCCAGGCTGGAGTGCAACGGCACTATCTCAGCTCACGGTACATCCACATCGTGGGTGGAAACGATTCTCCTGCTTCAGCCTCCTGAGTAGCTGGGATTACAGGCACTCGCCACCACGCCCAGCTAATTTGGTACTTTTAGTAAAGACGGGCTTTCTCTGTGTTCGTCAGGCTAGTCTCGAACTCCCGACCTCAAGTGATCTGCCCTCCTTGGCTTCCCAAAGTGCTGGGATTACAGGCATGAGCCACTGGGCCCAGCCAAGTTATATATATATATATCGTTCTAGATTCAAGTCCTTTCTGAAATATATTATGTGTACATATTTTCTCCCATTTTGTGAATTTTCTTTCCACTTTTTTTGGGGTTTTCTTGAGACAGAGTTTTGCTCTGTCACTCAAGCTGGAGCACAGTGGTGTGATCTTGGCTCACTGCAACGTCCGTCTCCTGGATTCAAGCAATTTCCCTGCCGCTGCCTCCTGAGTAGCTGGGACTACAGGCATGTGCCACCACACCCAGCTAATTTCTTTTTTGGAATTTTAAGTAGAGGCAGGGTTTCGTCATGTTGGTCAGGCTGGTCTTGAACTTCAGACCTCAAATGATCCACATGCCTCAGCCTCCCAAAGTACTGGGATGACAGGCGTGAGCCACGGTGCCTGGCCTCTTTCCATTTTTTTAATGGTGTCTTTTGAGGCACAAAAATTGTTGATTTGTATAAAGCTAAATTTATCTATTTTTTTTCTCTTGTTGCTCATGGTAATGCTTATATTAAGAATCCATTACCTAATCCAAGGTTATAAATTTTATACCTCAAGTTTTCTCGTTTTAGTTCCTAGATTTATGTTAATATTCCATTTTGAGTTAATTTTTGCATATGATGTGAGGTTGCAGTTCAACTTCATTCTCTGTGCATGTGGCTATCCAGTTTTCCCAGCACCATTTATTGAAAAGATTATGCTTTCCTCCAGTGAACTGTCTTGGCATTCTTCTCTCTTTTAAATACACATTCAGAACATTTCATTCTTTGCAGGTATCTATCAGTCTCATATTGTTATTTTCCATCTATTGAGCATTATATTACTCTCTTTAAACATGCAAATCTTTGAAGAATATATATGAATCTCTCCTATACTTACTTACACTTGGACAATTATTTACATTTAGAAACATTTAGCAATTACCTACTTTGTGCCAGGCAGTATTCTAGATGCTGAGATACAATCCCCATGAGGCAATGTGAATTATTGGAGATGACTATAAGTACACATTGTATTCTGTGATGGGGCGGGGGAGCCACAGAACCACAGATGCTGAAAGAACAGAGTAACTTATTTCTGTGATGAAGGTTCTAAAAGGGTTACACTGAGGAGGGGCAGCAGAAAGAACAACTGAATTGTCAAAGAAAGGCTCTAGATGATTCCAGACAGGAGAAAATAATGGACCCGAAAGGGTGTATTTAGAAAGAGGCCCAAGGTCTCTAGGGAACAGAGGTTTAACACATAGACTGTGGGGCGACAGGTTAAGGTATCTCTTGAGAGGTTAGCATGGTTGAGTGTTATGGATCTCACACATCATGCTCCAGAACTTTAACTACATTTGTACGCGATGGCAATCAATTCTAGACCTGAACAAGAAAGTCATGCATACTTTAGGAAGAGGATTGTGGAAATAACTGTACAGAACTGACTAGCATAGCAACAGATTAGCACTGAGCACTCCTCACATATGTCCAGCCTGCAGGAGGAAGGTGGACTCTGCGTGTGTGCGTGTGTGTGTGTGTGTGTATGGTTTCTTTCTTTCCACAACTGCATGACAATAACGTATTTTGTTCCTATCTCTTGGTGATAACAAGACACTGAAGGAGGAAGGGGGACTCTGTGTGTGTGCACGTGTGTGTGTCCTTTCTTTCCACAACTTCATCACAATAACGTATTTTGTTCCTATCACTTAGTGATAACAAGACACTGAAGGAGGAAGGGGGACTCTGTGTGTGTGCACGTGTGTGTGTCCTTTCTTTCCACAACTGCATGACAATAACGTATTTTGTTCCTATCACTTAGTGATAACAAGACAATTAAGACATTTTATACCTGGTTCTTCCTTCCTCATTTCATTGACATGTGTGTACTGCCAGCCTTAAAGAAGATGTTATGCACACCTCTTATTGGTTTCTCAATTCTATTTTCTTCATATCTACAATCTTTTTCAGATGCTCTACTGTTAACATGTCATAAAAGAGATAATACTATCACTGAAGGTCGTTTAACTTTGGACCTATCTTCTGGACAAGGAGCCCAAATGAAATGAGGTTAGTCATACACATGCCTTACAGAATGCTTCTTTCCCTTTTGCGATTCAAAGTATTCCATTTTAACTACTCTTCCAACATTGTCTAGCATAGCCTGCCGTAACTATCAGCTGGGAAAGAGTGTCAACAAGCTTCTACCAGCAGTTTGACACAAGTTTGAGTTTGCAGCTCTACTTTTACTCTTTCTGTCTGGATTTTCCACAGAAGTTTTCCAGAATCAGAAATACATCCAAGTCAAAAATTCTCCATTTTTTCGACTACATGAAATAAATATTTTTGCATTTAACATAATCACAGCCAATACTACTAGCAAGAAAAAGCACATTGACACTTCTCTCCAATAGAATGTTCAATTTGTAACTGGTATTCCTTAAATGGACCTTTAGCAGAAAAGGAGGTGTTATTTTTGCTGTCACAATGGTGAGAACTGTATTATGTTCAATGGAATGAAACACATCCTCAAAATAAATGAGCAGGAGACATAATGGAATTCTACATTCCTTGCTCTTTTCTGTTAGCTGACTACTGGTGTGAATGTGATCCATCATATTGTATCCCTGCTGGAAGAGCCTGTTCAACACCCCTTCCTCCCTCCAGTGATTCTTATTTACAAAGACCTGTGTAAAATAAGTCATTTATATGCAACAGCAGGAAAACTGGCCAGCAATCTGGCTACATAAAAAATAAATAAATATAGTCAAATTGGTTCACATAAAAAAAAGGATGGAAAAAAATGAAATTATAGTGGCTGCAATATGCCTTACACGTGAAGAAATGGGTAAGATTTTATATCAGAGAAGGATATATCTTTGATTCCTGCCTCTGCTTCAGCAACTTTCCTATGTAGCTGCCAATTTTTCACCCTAGCAAAATCATTAAAAACTGAAATCGCATATTTTTAAACCACTTTAAAAAGCAGAGGCTGAGAGACAGCGGAAAAAGAATAGAGAAAAGAAAAATCCATCTGGAAAGATATAACCCAAAAAATGTTAGCATAGTGATTATCATCTCTGGATAATAGAATTGTAAATATTTTTTCTTTTATGCTAAGTAGGAAGAACAAAAAAGACGGAAAGAAAGACAGTTAAGTATTTGGAAAGGTAGTTATGCAGAAAGAAACAGGAGATTTGCATACTGTGTTGAGGCCAGGACAAAAACCAAAATATATACAGATGTCCACGTGTTCTAGCCATCCAAAACATTTTATACCTTATTCAGGCACAGGAACGTAACTTCATCCTTCAAAGCTTTTTCACCCTTCCAATAGATCTCTGAGATTGCTATTCCTATCATTTGACTTAGAAAACCAAAGCTCAGAGAAATTTAAGTGCTAGTAGCCAAGTTCTCACATCAGACTCAGTAATTCCCCAAGCCTGGGTTGTGCCCCGTCATGGAGAAATGGAACTCCATATAACAGAAGGCAGGCCCCGTTTATGTGAACAATGTCTCCTTTAATATGTTAACTGAGGAAATCTATGAATTTTCTTCCAGAAAGCTGTAGTACGGGTGGAAGAAAATTTCTAAAACAGGAGACTCCATAAAGAAATCACCACCAAACAATCAAATATAAAAACCCAACTTGGTAGAGGACAGTCTAGTAGGCATTCTGTGTTACCTTTTCTCTGGCTCACTGGTACATCAAGTGGCAAGACACAAGAAGTGCCATGTGGTGCCACAAAATGATGGCAAACCCAGCACTACGGTACCTAAATTAACTCCTGCAATATGGCTTTGAAGCCTCAACATACATTCTGTTGGAGCAACGACAATGCCCATAGTGAGTAGAGAAGTCCATCAAATGGATTACCTGTGAGATATAACCTGGAGGCACATGAATGGGAGGAATGGATCCATTGGGTGACATCATGGGAACTTCAGCAGGTCCTAAAAGAGATGAGTCAGATGTTAATAGCGGAAGAAACATGCATTATTCAAAATAATCAATGTTTTCAATGTACTATCCAAACTGAAGATAATTAATCACTTAATCTTCTCTTCAAAAGTTGGTATACACTGCCTTAAAGAAAACCTGAAACCATGAATGAAAAGGAATTCTCCAACTATACAACTCGAAGAAAACAAACAACCCAAAAGTATAAGCATCTTTATAAATATTTAGTGATTCTCAAAGCCTCAAGTTCCACAAACCAAGATTGTTCAGTTAATAGTAGTGAAAAAGAGTAGGGCAAAAAGTTTCTTTCCTTTTATCTGGCCTTTAAAAGAATGTATAATTAATCAGTGT